ATGTCTGGTGCGTGTGCGAGGGTCGATAAGTGCTTCCCTCAGTGTACGACCTTTCCGTCCTCGTTCTCGCAGACCTGGAGCAACGAGTCCTTGAGGTTCTGGAATGACTATCGCCTGTCCCGAGGCTTTTACTTTCTGTTTGTAATGGTATGGTACGGCTACCATGGTCTTTTGAGTGGTGAGGGGACGTCTTGCTTTTGTGCCCCTCTCCTGTCGCCACTTCTTTTCCCTTCATCTGGCGCTTCATAATCTCCATGTCCACCGCCATCCGTCGTATCAACTCATCTTGCTCCTTCACGCGGTCCTCCAGAACTTGAGGATCAATCCTCCGCCTTTGCCTGTGAGGACTTTGTGAACGAGAGTGACGGGGGCTATTAGTCCGCCTTCTCCCCCTTGTATCCCTCCTGGGATTCTGTCGTTGTGGCTCCAAGTCCGCCATAGGAGGGATTGAAGGCAGGCCTTCGCGCCTTACACCTCCCTCTGGAGTTTGTCCGTCGATGGCGGACTGCGGTAAATCTTCATTGTGCGCCATTGCTTTCAACTAGAGAGGAAAACTTGATCAAGAGGTTTTGCTCTTTATAAAGTTCCCACAGACGGCGCCAATTGTACGAGAAAGAAATAAACCTTCTCGTATAATCATGTTGATCAAGTTCGTGCTCCTCCTTACGACGTCGCTTTACTCCTTGAAAACACAAACGTGAGCTAGCCGGCAGGTGTGTGCCGGATACCTCTCCGATGCCTAAGTCAACAAAATAGACAAAAGCTCTATGTATTCGAGAATCAAAGTTGTGTTACCTCCTCATAGGTGATATTGTGAGCTTTTATAGGTTCTGTGTGGCACAATCCAAGTAGGACTCTTACTCCTCCATGTAGAGTCCTCCTAGGATTCATACTCCTGAAAGATAATGCTTATCCTTCTACACCCCCCTCACTGCTTAAACCAAGTGAGATGGTTTTGCCATGGTTCGGACTCCAATTGGCCGAGGTATGCATGGCTATGCTTAGCCATAGAACAGACCGAACTATCCTTAGTTCGGTTTGTTCTTTTACTGCCCTTACCTCAGTTCCTCCTGTACAAACCGTGGTAAGTCTAACCGAGCTAAACTTTTAGCAAGGTTTAGACGAGCTAACCATACTGCGCCATAACCAGTATAAAGTTTTTAGTATGGTGATCGAGCTAACCTCTTTGGGACCGGAGTAACTTTACAGCTCTCTAGGGCCGGAGTAACTTCATGGCCTTTTTACTCAGTCCTTCGCACTGTGGCCATAACGGCCCATCACCCAGCTCGGCCATTTTCATATAAAATTACCCTCTCAGTTAGTGATGAGATTGTTAAATTATTTTTATAAAAAAAATCTAAAAAAATAATTTGTATATTCAAAAAATATCTAAAACAAATATAAATTTTTATTAAAAAATAACAGGTTGCAATTGTAGAAAAAAAGAGAAAAAAATTACACTGTGCATTTCATTAATAATGCTAAAAAATGTGCTTAGTATTTGTGTAAAGACTTAATACGTGTTCACTCTCAAATTATCAAATGAATATAAATGAAATCAAATAATTAAAGCGTAATAACTATTGATTAATAGAATTCAGCAATTGAAAGGTCTCAAACCACATCTCTTTATCTTCTCAAATGTTTCCTTTTTTTGGTTTATACATTTAGTTTAATATTGATAGAGAATTGGAGGTGTGGAAAATTGAGAGACATTAAGATTATATATGGAGTTACATAATTGTTGTTATGAAAAATAAAGGTTGTCTTCCTATTTTATGGCGATTTATTTGGTTATACCTCCAATTAAAATGTCAGGTGTGTTTATATATTTTTAAATTTGAAATTAAAACTATAGTAAATTTATGTAAGCATAATTGCTAATCACATTTTTTTACTTAGTGTATAATATTATATTGACTATATTTTTCACGTTTATTTTTTTTAGTATTTATATAGAAGTAAAAAAATATTGTTAGGGATAAATTTTTCTTTAATTTAGTTATAAATTTTGCCCGTACATCTTTTTTTTAAAAATTTTGAATAAAAGAAAACATAAAATAATTAATTGAAGATATGATGCATTTGTTAAATTTCTTTTTCTCTGTGCAAAAAAAAAAAAAAAAAAAAAAAAGGACATTTAAAAATCGCAATTCACATATATATAAATAATTGTAAACACAACCTGTGCATAGCACGGGTGATACACTAGTTACTATCTAATTACCATCTAGTTATAAGTCACTTTGATCATTTGAAGTTAAATAATGCTATATGCACTAATTAGTGTACACACTAGTGTACCAACAGATGATGTGACATAATTTTAGAGGTTTTCGGTATTTTTAATTTGTATAATAAATAGGATCATTAATGATATCATAACTTTAGTTGGTACACTAGTGCGTATACTAATTGGTGCATGTAACACCACCGTTTAAAGTTTTTAGTTTGTCATTTGCTTAAATTGTTGATAAATAGGACAAAACATAGCCTCATAGAGGAATAAAATTAAAATTTTAAAAACCAAAGTGATACAAAATACATATTTTAGAGACTATATGTAAGCTATGGAACGCATACTTTACCAATAAGGAGTGTATTTTATCCTTCAAGACAAGTGGGGATTTATATTAATAAATATTTAGTCACCAAAATGTTTTATTTTTTATTTTTTTAGGTACTAACTATTTAGTCACCAAAAATATTTATTTTATTTTTTACTACCAATTGTTTGGTCGCCAAAAACACAATTTTAATTTTTTTTAATTAATTTATCCACAACCTGTATATATTCCATGTAACCTTTACTAAGTATATAAATAAAACAATACATATATTATCATTCATTCCACAATTTGCATCCATTTCATTTTCAATCATCTAAAAAGGAATAACTTTTAATGTCAAATTTTATTCAAATCGAGTATATTCCAACTTAAAGTAATAATTCCATACAAAACAGAGAATCATACAAAAACCATCCGTACAAGAAAATATATCCACTACCATGCCAAATGACCATTTGACATAGTACAAATTACCATGGTAATCTGTACGACAAAAGATAATCTATATACCAAGACAATAATTATCCATTCGATACCAAAAGTATTCTGTACCATGCAAAAAGTAATCTATACGATTAATAGTAATCCACACAAAAAGCAGAGGACGACAAAATAGTAGCATTATACTAAAGTGTAAATTGTTCTCCGTACAAAAGTGTAAATTGTTCTCTGTACAAAAGTATAAATTGTCCTCCATGCCAAAAGCCATCTACAAAAAAATAAAAAGAAGAGCGAATTATACTAACAGTCCCTATAGTTTGGAGCTCGTGTCATTTTGGTCCCTGACTTTGCAATTGTAACATATTTGACCATGAATTTTGAATTTTGTTCCAAATAAAGCCAATTGAAGATACCATTGCTCAATTTCAAGGGCAAAGTCGTCAATTTGATAAAATATAAACTAATTTGACAAAAATAAATGTCAAAAAAATAATTTTGAATATTTAAAAATAATTTCTACCCACCAAAGATAAAATTATGTAAAATTGATAAATTTTTTAGACATTTATTTATTTATTTTAGCAAATTAATTTTATTATGTGTTTGGATGTTTAGACATTTATTTATTTATTTTAGCAAATTAATTTTATTATGTGTTTGGATGATGATCATGTAATGAGTAGTTATTAAGCTTTTAATGTGTAATCGATACATTTAATATATGAAATATTTCTAGCTTTGGATTTTTTGATTTGATGAATTGTTTTAATAATGATATCAAAGTTGTTGTGATATTTGACTTTTGAAAAAATATAAACTAATTCAATGAAAATCAAAACAACAACCTATTACATGATCATCATCCAAACACATAATAAAAATTAATTTGACAAAAAAAATATCTAAAAAATTTATCAGTTTTGCATAATGTTATATTTAATGGGTAGAAATAATTTTTAAAAATTCAAAAATATTTTTTTGACATTTATTTTTGTCAAATTAGTTTATATTTTATCAAATTGACGACTTTTTCCTTAAAATTGAGTAAATGTATCTTGAACTGTCTTTATTTGGAACAATATTTAAATTTCATGATCAAATGTGTCACAATTAAAAAGTCATTGACCAAAGTGACACAAGGCTCAAACTATAGGGACTGTTAGTGTAATTTGTTTAAAAAAAAAAGGTGCACCCATTAGTATCGTATAGCATTCGAGGATAATGTCACACTCTACAGAGAATCTGAGTACAAAATTTATCATATTTCATTTTTAATCACCAAGCAAGAAATAGCAAGTTCATGGAAGAAGTCCTAGTTATGGAATATAAGCTATTTCTTTACTAAAAAATTACAGACTATAAAAAGAAATCAGTAATTGTCCAAATCAGTAAACTATACTATCAACACATAATGTCCACCAACATTAGACAAATTCTAATGCATAGGCATTTTCGGCTCTAACTCCAAACGTACGTGTGCTAATTATATCTTGTCTGTCCCCATAGGTCCTATTTGTCACAAGGAAGCTACTTGTGACATTCATATAGTGGTTTGGGCGCTGTTTTGCATTTTGCCTCCTCGAATGTTCTTTTTCAACTAAGTTTAAAGTGTTTTTGGCTCTAACTCCCAACCTACGTGTGCTAAATAAATCCCGTTCGTCCCCACAGGTCCTATTTATCACGAGAAAGGTGCCCGTGACATCCATATAGTGGTTTAGGGGCTATTTTGCATTTTCACCCCCCAAACTCCCTTTCGGTTCATGATTTTAAGTTGAGTAAACTCTAAATCCATTTCAGCACCAATTGAAAATAATAAACAAGAAAAGACTCTTGTCTTCTTCTTCAACAAGGGAGAGACATACAACATACCTCTCAAGCTCAAGCTAACAGGGTATATGAGCACTACACATCTATCCACAAGATGTATGCATAAACAAGAAAACTAAGTGATTTTCTCATCCTTTTCAGATGTATGCATAACCTAGTGCCCTATATTCTATTATAGTCACCATGTCTCTTCTGCATGTCATTCACTATCACAACCATTTAAAGACATGTCAAACAATATCAACGTGATGCATTATTGACTTCTGTTGTTACTTAGGCACAGTCAATACCATAACCACACTAATTATACAAACTTTAAATATAGTGAGGCTGATATTAACATTAGATTTAATTTAAGCTAATAAAATGTGAATCACGGAGCTCCTATTTTTAATTGGCATGTCTGAAACTCTGCATGCACTAGTGTAACCCAAGAATTAACAAAAACTCATACTTGTATTCAACATATACTAAAACAAAAAACACTTTGAAGGAAAGATATACACAAAGGACTGTGCTTGCATTCAACAGATATTAAATTAAGTCAAACGCAAGTCCCTGGGTGGATGCTGATGTAAGTTTTCTAAACAAAACTGTATATTAGATTGAATTAAATTGAACAAAGAATACATACATCATTTATATAGAGTACCACTAATTCCTAATCCTACATGAATACATTACTGAGATATATAGAAGTCTAATAGATATAGGACACTTATTCCTAATCCTAGGAGAACACATATTCCTAATTCTAGGAGAACACATATTCTCACACTCCCGCTCAAACTCAAGGTGTTTTAGCAAAAAACATTGAGAGTTTGTCAAGAAAAAACTGAAACCGAGCAGTGGTGTGAGTCTTAGTGAAGAAGTCAGCAAGTTGCAGAGCCGAAGAGACAAAAGGAAGCGAGATAAAGCCAGACTGCAGATGCTGACGGACGAAGTGACAATCAATCTCAATATGTTTTGTTCGTTCATGGAAGACAGTGTTATGAGCAATTTGAATAGCACTTCGGTTGTCACAATAGAGAGAGGTCGGGAAAGATTGAGGGACGCCAAACTCAGATAAGAGATTACGAAGCCAGACAATTTCAGCAGTAGCATGAGCCAGAGCACGATACTCAGCTTCGGCAGTAGAACGGGCAACAACAGTCTGTTTCTTGCTTTTCCAAAAAATAAGGGAATCACCAAGAAACATACAGAAACCAGAAGTAGATTTACGATCATTAACATCACCAGCCCAATCAGCATCAGCATAAGCCACCAAGTCTAAGGAAGAAGTAGAAGAGAACAGCAAGCCCTGAAAGATAGTACTGCGAAGATAGCGAAGAATCCGAAACAAAGCAGCCCAATGTGTAGAGTGAGGGGCAGAAACAAACTGATTAATCACATGGATAGCATAGGCAAGATCAGGGCGAGTAACTGTCAGATAGACTAAACAACCCACAAGCTCGCGATATAACGTATGATCATCTAGAGGAACCCCATCAGTAGTGTTGAGCTTTACATTAAGCTCAATGGGGGTATCAGACAGCTTAGTGTCAGTAAGCTTGGCACAATGGATAACCTCATTAGCATACTTAGCTTGGGACAGAAAGTAACCCTTGGGAGAAGAAGCCACCTCAATGCCAAGAAAATACCGCAATGGTCCCAAATCCTTCATTTTGAAGGTGCGGAATAGATGCTGCTTGACCTCAGAGATAGCAGAAGAGTCAGAGCCAGTGATGATCATATCATCTACATATAGTAAGAGAGCCACAAAACTAGTCGAGGTATGTCTTAGAAATAAAGCAGAGTCGGAAGCAGAAGGATGAAACCCAAGCTCGGTAACAGCAGTCTGAAAGCGATCATACCAAGCACGAGGAGACTGCTTCAGACTATATAGAGCACGCCGAAGACGACAGACTTGGTCAGAGGAATGGTGAAGACCAGGGGGAGGACGCATGTAAACCTCCTCAGTGAGATGGCCATTAAGAAAAGCATTCTTAACATCCATCTGATAAAGAGGCCAAGAACGAACAGCAGCGACAGAAATCAAAGTACGGACAGTAGTCATCTTGGCAACAGGAGTAAATGTCTCCTTATAATCAATACCATACTCTTTGGAGAAACCTTTGGCCACCAGACGAGCTTTGTAGTGCTCAAGAGAACCATCAGAATGAGTCATGACTTTGTAGACCCATTTGCAACCAACCAGATTTTTACCAGCAGGTAAAGGAACCAACTCCCAAGTACTAGTTTTCTGTAGAGCAAACAACTCATCCTCCATAGCTTGAACCCAATGAGGATCCTGACAGGCCTCCTTGTAAGACTGAGGTTCTGCAAAAGAGTGAATAGCAGACAAAAAGGTACGAAAGGAAGCAGAAAAACAAGTATTAGACCAACCCAACCTTTTTGGAGGATGACGCGCTCGAGGAGGATATCGGTGTGCAGCAGGATCAGAGTCATCAGAAGCAGGAGGATCAACAGCAGGGGTAGAGACAACTAGTAGAGGAGGAGCCTTGCGACGAGAATAAACTAACAACGGAGGAGAAGAAGGAGGAGAAGGCGAAGAAGGAGAAGTAGTTAGAGGTAAAGCAGGAGGAGAAAATGGAATAAGCTCAGGAGGAACTGTGGAGATGTACTCATCAGATGGGACCTCAGAAGGAAATTGATCAATATGAACCAAATCCTCTTTGGAAACTGGGGCGGTGAGAGGAGGAAGTTGAAAGTAAGATAGACGTTCGATAAAGGCAACATGGCGGGAGACATAAAGGCGACGAGAAACAGGGTCATAACAGCGATAAGCTTTCTGAGTGATACTATATCCCAAAAAAACACATAGGACAGACCGGGCACTAAGTTTAGTCCTATCTTTACGGGTAAAAAGACAAAACACGCAGACCCAACACACGAAGGAGAGAGTAATTAGGAAGTTGAGAAAAGAGAGCCTCATAAGGAGACTGACCAGAAAGAAGGGGGGTAGGCATACGGTTGAGAAGAAAAGCAGCAGTAAGAACTGCCTCACCCCAAAACGAAGCTGGAACGGAGGCAAAGAGAAGAAGAGACCTAGTTGTCTCAAGAAGATGACGGTGTTTACGCTCAGCTCGGCCATTTTGGGCAGGTGTACCAGTACAAGAAGTTTGGTGAATGGTACCCAAGTTGGCCAAATATTCACAGAATTCAGTTTTAAAGTATTCCCCACCCAAGTCAGACCGCAACATTTTAATAGTAGATCCAAACTATGTAGTGACCATGGACTGGAAAGTACGATATATCTGGTAGAAGTCAGACTTATGAGTCATAAGATAAACCCACGTGTAACAGGTGCAATCATCAACAAAAGACACATAGTATACTGAACCCCCTTTAGTAAGAACATGAGAGTGTCCCCAGACATCAGTATGCACAAGAGAGAAAGGAGAAACAGAAATAGATGTACTTTTATTAAAAGGTAAAGCTGACATTTTGGCAAGTTTACACCCCCGACATTCATCAATTTGACTAGGAGAAACTTTACCCAACAATCCTGACTGAGCTAAAGACCGTAAGCGGTCAACAGACAAATGACCAAGACGAGAATGCCATAAGTAAAACTGACTCGACTGAGAATCTAATTGAAACGAGGAAAGTGCAGCTGGAGAGGTGGATAAGGGGAGATGCAAGCTTTCAACCACATAAAGATCTCCAATTCTACGGCCGGTCCCAATCTGCTTCTTGGACACCCGATCCTGCACACAACAGACAGAAGAGGAAAAGATAACATCAAAACCAGACGCATCAAGTTGACTGATAGATAACAAACTGACAGATAACTGAGGAACATAAAAGACAGAAGGAATAGTAACAGCAGACATGGCAGAGGGTAAGACAGACCCAACAGATAAAACAGACATACCAGATCCATTAGCAGTATTAATAGTAATAGGAACGGGTGGGGGAATACAATTTTGAAGTAAGGAAAGGTGAGGAGTCATATGATGTGAGGCACCAGAATCAAAAATCCAAACAGAAGAAGGGATACCTGAAGAGGACCCAAGCAAACCTGAATGAAGAGAGGTAAGAGCGGAGGCAGATGGGGACGACTGAGAAGTGGACAAGATATGCTGAAATTGTGCAACCTGAGCACTCAAGGAAGCCAAGTCAGGATCGGGAGCCGGAGTAGATGCAGTGTAAGCAGCAGGAGGTCGGAAAGTACTCGAAGTAGTACCGCGGAACTGTGTCTGAGAAGACGGAGCAGGCTGACGTCCCTTTTTAGGACAATTGTTCTTCCAATGACCCCTCTGATGGCAGAAAGCACACTCATCTAGCCCTAATGGTCCTCTCTTGGGTTTCGCAGTGGCCTGAAGTTGATGAGAAGGAGGGGTCGATAACAAGGGCGGCTTGGCAGGAGCCAAGAACACAGAAGGTTGAAGTTCCTGTTCCTAAAAAGACTAAGATTGGACCAAAAACAGTAGATTGTGTGTTTATTGGTTATGCTCAGAATAGTAGTGCATATCGGTTTCTGACTTATAAATCAGAAATACCTGATAAACCAAATTAACCAAAGAGCCAAAGTAGATGGCTGCGAATCGATTCAGACAGAGATCGCGAGGAAGAGAGAGGCCTTCGCGAGACGAACCAGAGAGGGCTAGGGTTTCGAACCCTCGCGAGTCTGGAGAGAGAAAAGTCACGACTCCGATGGTGACAAACCAGTCGAACCAGAGAGGGCTAGGGTTTTGAACCTAGCTCTGATACCATGTAAGTTTTCTAAACAAAACTGTATATTAGTTTGAATTAAATTGAACAAAGAATACATACATCATTTATATAGAGTACCACTAATTCCTAATCCTCCATGAATACATTATTGAGATATATAGAAGTCTAATAGATATAGGACACTTATTCCTAATCCTAGGAGAACACATATTCCTAATCCTAGGAGAACACATATTCTCACGGCTGAAGCATTGAATCTAGGACACCATCCTCAAAGGCCTCTCTAGAAGAAATCCAATGCTTTGATGCTAAATTCTTTCGTGAAACTAGAACAAGGTCTTGAAAGTTCTAAATGATTTTGTTATTGATCAAGACCCCCACCAGTAGCTGTCAACTTCTGAAAGTCAAAACTACTCTTCACTATGGCAACTAAGAGGCTCGAATGCATAGACTCTGTAGTAGACTAATGCCATTAAGTTGAGCTTGGGCAGCCAACTAGGCTGAAACCTACCACTTCAAACCACCGCTACAAGTTCTCCGCCATCCCCTTTATGACAATTAACCGATTCATGGATATAACAATACAAATCCCATCAACTCAACTCAACTGAACAAGTCTTTATAGTTTGTCCCAATCACACAGCTCTGGCTTTATGTAAGTTGGATTATTTTATTTTTTTTTCCAAAACACATTTTAATCATTGAATATCTCATTTTTATAATGTCAAAAAAATTCCAGGTTCTTCAAAACAATAATGTGAATCTATGTTTCAATTAACCAGGATAGCAGGACAAAAAAAAGAACAAATTATAACAGTGCACTTATTACAATTCTTCAACATACACACCAATGTCCCAACTGGAAGATGAATCCTAAACCTCCCCCTTTCACTGTGTCTCTTATATGAAATTATGAAAAGAAAACACACTATAACCAAAAGTAAAAAACATTATAATCCTGCCCACTTATCAGGAGTAAATAGGACGAATGAGAAGATATAACTTATCAGGAATAAATAGAAATCGTACTAATAACAAGATAACATGATAGCCAATCCAAAAATAAAACTAAACAACAAGATAACATGATATAGTATTAATTAATGCGAGGAAAAGCCGCTTATTGCTCTTACAGCGTATGGCAAAAATGCTTTCAGAATTTTTCTGATTCAAAAGAAAATGCAAACACAATTCTTATGTATGTGCAATATCATACCTGCTATCTGACATGCGCTTCTAAGCTTTTGAGGTGGACCTAGCAAGAGATTCAGATAAGACTTTCAACTTATCAATCTGCTCAAAGTTTTTTGTGAGATATAAACTTTAGTAATTTAAACTTTTATAGTTCCTAAGGGAACGTAGTAAGTGTCAATCAAAAGATACTAAAATGATTACTTTGAAAGTTACATGATAGTAGTACCAGTATGGCACTACCATGAAATGAAATAAGATAAGAGGATTACAAATGAAAAAGAAGAAAGAAAGAAGGAAAGGCAAGGACATTAAATTTAAGTTACTTATGCACAAAAAGGATATGGAAACTCTCATTTAAATAAATAAAATAAAATAAGGCATCCAAAACCATTAGGCAAAGGCACCAACAAGATCGATGAAACTGTATGACATATATTTATTTTCGATAAATGAAACTGTATGACCCATTTGAACTGTACATCACAATGAAATCTGACAGATATGGGTCGAATCTAAACCATTACGGTGAGCTTATAACGCATCCAAAGGTTAGTTGCAAGAACATCATGAATCTACTCCAAAATCAGAATTCCACAAATCAGAGTGAGAAGCTAGTTACAATAATCATGTTCCCATCAAGAAACTGTGTTCCCAGCTATGATGAAAAAATGTAATCCAAATTGATTCTAATACTTTGTATTTACATTATATTTACAATAAACAATTTACAATTGACATCGGTCAGCACTATTTTTCATATTCAGACACGTCACAAGTTAAAAATAAAAA